GGGGATTTGCTACTTCCCATCGACGTGTCGACCCATCTAGACAGCCTCTTCTCGAGTTGACAGGTTTTACCATGATGGCTTGACGAGCTTGCTCCAGCTTCACAAGAGTTCACAGGTTTCACCAGAGTGAGACTTGTAAACCGGAACTAGTGAAGCAACGAAAAGCAAAATGTCCCCCCCCCCCCAACCTCGTTGCCGAACACTGCGCCCAAATTTTTCAAAACGAAACAAGCTTCTCACATGGGACTTCAATTACACTAGAGGAACTCACGAGTAAAAATTGAGAGACACGCCTCTCGGAAGGCTGTTCCCCTTGGCACAAAATAGAGAATTCCATTGAGCAATTTGACTATATTTGGCATTTTGTTGCTGAAAAGACTTTGGCATTACGAAGCTTCGAGGGTTCGAAATATTGTGCACTATCAGAGCCGCATTTCCTAGCAGTAAGATAGGCCCGTTATGGAATGGAATCTTTGAGAGCCTAATATGAAGTGATCAGGTTAGGCAGCGTTCAGACTTCGCGACGGCAGCCTTGGTCGCGCGTTCGACGCGATCGATGCAGTCGAAAGCATGCGCATCGATCGTCGATCGCGCGACCAAAGCGCTGCCGTCGCGAAGTCTGAACGCTGCCTTATTGAGGGCGGTGCAATGGTACTCGACTAGTTGTAGAAGGAGAAAATGTAAGATTTATAACTCCAGTTTGGTAAGTACAAAATGGATTATGCACAGTACACCTTGAATGATTCTATATAGCGACGTACCAGTGTGAACAAGGAGAGGGAGCCTGGTAGATAACCGCCAAGCTTGTAGGCTGTTCCATTCGCTATTGATTGTCTGTATCCGTTGAACTGATCGTAGATATAATCGTCTAGACTTGATCTCTCTGAAACAGAACAATGTATACTTGAAGCATCGCAAAGTGCAGGGCATATCCGAGTGTAGTATGGGGCGTTCCTGCAACGGCTGCGCATTTCCGTGCCAGCTGTCCTCTCTGATCTATACGTCACTGCCTCTATTTAGTCTGGACACTCGTAGCCATCGCCGGAACACTCCGCACCGTCCTCAGATATGCTCTAAATCTTCCTTACGTCTGCAAGCTGAAAAGTGCGAGACGGTCAAGACAATCGTAATTTGCCGCTCCGTTGCGCGCGCCAATGGACGCGGCACTTACTTAATGTGCCCAGCCTGTCTATTGCAACACCGGATTTCAGGTATCCTAAGACATCGCAGACATTCATGGCTATTTTCACCTATGCGTGGTCTATTGTCTCCATCGATGACCTACAACATTGTCGCTAGCGCGCGCGACGTCGCACGCGACGCTCATAAGCGCAGCAAATTACGATTGCTTTGCCACATATCTGCAGAAGTTGCCTTCTTTACCACACATGACACGGGCTCAGAGGCTTCAAGGAAAACCGAATGATGGGAAAGAGCATCGCATGGCGAAGAAAGTCAGCAGTGAATGCGCAGCGTCTGCCAGCGACAACTAGCGTTCCGAGCGTCCAGTAGCTTCAGCCACACGGAAAGTATAGATATCGGTCTAGCGTCTGCCAGAGTCTACCAGCGTTCACCAGCGACCGAGACTAGAGAGTATGGGGAAGTCGGAGGGTGGCAAACAGTTGGATTAGTCGTGAAATTGCGGCGTGTGCAACCGCACCGTACAAGTACACTACACCGTACATTACATTGCATAATTCTGTGCTTTAGCGGTTGGTGCGGTCACACACCGCAAATTCACGACGCCAAATCCGGCCTGTTTGCTGCCGTCCTACTTCCCCATCTCTCTAATCCCGGTCACTGGTGAACGCCAGTGGACGCCGGTAGACGCTGTTAGACGCCGCCAGAAAGTGTGTACTGAGCCTCAAAGCCTCATCATTTTCACAAAGCAGCAACTGTCGACTTACCTTCCACGCTTCCTCCGTAAGTGATTAGGAAAACCTGGAATGTAGTTGTTAAAAAATAATGCATGCACTTCACAGGAGGGGAAGGTCGTAAAACCACCACGGGGTCTTAATTCGAGCCTGAAGTGATTATTACAAATGTGGAATCCAATTTTCATACCTTCCTATTGAGCCGTGGGTGGTCAGAACCCCCGAAATCGCGGGAACTTTGTCCCAGAGCACCTGATGCAATGGTGCCAGATGCAGCGTACGAAACACATAAAGGGGGAGGTCGTACTTGGTCGCTGGAAGAGGGAAGGGGTCGTATGTGGGCTTTGGAGGAGTATGCCAGGTTTGGGAAAAAATTTTCCTGGTTGGTGACTTCCCGTTTTACACTGATTACATACCCTCTCTCTCTCTCTTTCTCTCTCTTTCTCTCTCTCTCTCCCACCTTCCACCTCTCCCTCCCGCTCGACAGCAAAATTTTTGGGTAGAAGCAAAAAAAATCCTCGGAAATTTTGGAGAAATTCAGGAAGAAATGGTAGAAAGTTGGGGAAAGTTGAAGAAATTTTCACGTTTTATATGTGCTATTTGCCCATCCCCCTCCACGCTCCATGGAAAATTTCTTGCTGGTAGGAAGCTGGGAACTTCTAGGAGATTGGGAGGTAGGTGTTTGGGAGGGGGGTTCACCGAGAACCTCCTTGGAGGGGGAGTGTACCGACCCACCATTTCACACATCACGACGCTGTACCCTGGCCAGTTTTCGGGCGGAAAGGATACGGTACTCGCACTCAGGAGGTGAAACTACCCAAGAGAGCGAATGAATGGGTTAAATTAGGACAATCTTCACCTACCAAATACAGGAGAAGGAACATGATGTTGAAATGTGCAAAATACTCCTTTGACGGGCTTTTATAACTTCAGATACGTGAGGTGCTAAACGTTACCGTAACGCATCCTCCGTTCTTGTATTTATATGTCCACTGTTTCAACAATGATAACCGAAAATCAAACATGCCACACAACAAATTAATTTTTTTTGCAAAGCATAAAATAATGAAACGTACTATGCCCGGCCGATAATCGTGTACTTTTTTGATGCCTCAGACGAGAAGTGACCGACGTTTTTCGAATTCCAGACGGCACAGTTATTTGCACTTCATATGGTTATCTCCTATTCTGAGAAAGAAGTCAGTTTCTTCGTATTTTTTCAGAGGGACTGCACTAAAGATAAGGAAATATTAGATATTTTGATAGTTCACCTTCTCAGTGCATTTTATACAAGATA